AATTTTATTACAATTGCATGGGCAGGATAATGCGTACATTTCTTACCAAGCATTGCAGCCTCCTCCTTTGTTTACCCTTCCCATCCCTTCCCAGCCTTCCCCCTCCCCCCCATCCCAATTAAACTAGATTTCTTTACAAAAGTTTTGTTTCTTTTTCTTCATTTGGGAAAATCAGCTTTTCTAGCTCTATATCAAATGTTTGAGGGGCATGTATCAAAAGTAATATTGTTTGGAGCCGGGCGCTGGTGGCTCAACGCCTGTAATCCTAGCTACTCAGGAGGCTGAGATTTGAGGATCTCGGTTCAAAGCCAGCCCAGGCAGGAGAGACCGTGAGACTCCTATCTCCAATAAACCACCAGAAAACAGGAAGTGGCTCTGTAGCTCAAGTGGTAGAGCGCTTGCCTTGAGCTGAAGAGCCGAGGGACAGCGCCCAGACCCAGAGTTCAGGCCCCACGACCGACCAAAAAAAAAAAAGTAATATTGTTTGGTATATTTAAATTTTTATAAGTTCGGTTTACATTGATGTAGCCCTTACCCATAGTGTACTATAATAAATTATCATTCCCTGATTTACAGGTTTAAAAATGCTAAAACTTTTATGTTTCCTTTTTGGTTCTCATTGACTATCTGTTCTAAAGTTTCTGTTGTTCTGTTTGCCAGAGCTCTTAGGTCCTCTGTGAATTTTAACTAATTCGGCTTAATTTAAGGAGTTTTTGAGGAGGGTAAACTAGCAGCTCTAATGTAATTCTTGGGCAAGCTAGTGACTTCTTCCCTATCTGGGTATGTATGTGCTTGTGTTATTGAGGCCTGGTCAGTGATTTTGGTTGATTTGGCAGTTTTAGAAATGTTGGAGTCATAAAATAACAGAACACCATTAAAGAGGAAAAAGGAACAAGTACTTTTCTGGTCTGTTGGAAGGATAATGAAGGCTTTAGAGCATGTTTGGGAAAAGAATTTTGGGACATAACCTACCCTATGCATCACATAGCCATAGGTATATCTTTTGAAAAGAAGAGACTGACAGGAAGCTCTGTTCTACTGCTTTGTGAAATGGGAGATTGGAATTAGATGTTTAAATGGAAAATGTTCTCGTTGCAGCCTCTTTGAAATGAGCTGCTAGAGGGAGCTGCAGCTTCCTCCTGCTGACTAAGCCCCATGCTTCCATTGAGATGGTCCTTTGAAATGTGGAGCTTAGTCCAAGCCTGGATTTCAGTGGGTAGCACCTGACATCTGTGGCTAGAAAGTCCTATAAAGTGTAAGTGCTTTATTCTTTCCATGTAAAGAATCCTTTCTCCTTCCTTTACTCTTCCTTCTTTCTTTTTGCAGCTTAGCAGAGGGGAAGAATGGTGAGCAATGCACTATTGTGTCAAGGGTATCAGGATTTGGTGGTATTTTCTTGACTTGATTACCAAAGCAAGATTGCTTGTTACTTTTTGGGATGTCAGCAATTCTTAAACCACACCTTTCCTTTGAATTCAGAATAAAAAAAAACTGATGAATTATGACCTTTTAGCATTTAGTGTTGGCAGTACCATCATGGATAATTTGACTGCTTGATTAGTGGCCTAATGGTATTGGAGGTTGAATTCAGAACCTTGTGGTTGTTATTTGTTAGGTAGTAGATGCTTTATCGCTTGGCCTGCTTCCAGCCCTTTTTGCTTTAGTTATGTTTTAGATAGGATCTTGCTCTTTTGCTCAGCTGTTTTGGGACATTATCTTTATTTAGTCCTCCTACTTACACCTGCCTGTCTTGTAGCTGGGATGATAGGTGTGAACCATCGTGCTCATCTTCCTTGTTGAGATGGAATTTTGACATGACTTTATTCTGGCTGGCCTCAAACCAGTATTCTCCAGATCTCTATCTCCCAAGTAGCAGGTTATAGCTCTCAGTAACCATGCCTACTCTTCCTTCCCTTTTTGCTTCATGTGTTACACTTTAATATATACTTTGTAAAGTGCTTTTATGGCCAAAGGATTTTCCTATGTATTTGGGAAAATACAGAGATAATTAAGTTTTAAAATTTTTTATCTTTGGGGCTTGGAAGGTTGCTCAGTGGTAGAGCACTTGCCTTGCATGCATGAGGCCCTGGGTTCGATTCCTCAGCACCACATAAGCAAAAAGAAAAAAGCTGGAAGTGGCGCTGTGGCTCAAGTGGTAGAGCGCTAGCCTTGAGCTGAAGAGCTGAGGGACAGTGCCCAGGCCCAGAGTTCAGGCCCCACGACCGGACCCCCCGCCCCCAAAAAAGAAAATTTTTATTAAGTAAATCCAAGCTTTTTGAAAAATTTCTCTGTAGAAATTTCATTGTTCAAAGTAAACAGTCTTCTATCTTTATTCTTACACCTTATATATAAACATTGTTAGTAACTGGTTAAAATCCCCAAGATTTTTCTTTGTTTTAAAACAAATAAGTACATGTAATTTAATAAAACATATAGCCATATTTAATACGTTTCATATGTCCTTTTTTTTTTTTTTTGGATCCGGTTGTGGGGCCTGAACTCTGGGCCTGGGCACTGTCCCTCAGCTCTTCAGCTCAAGGCTAGCGCTCTACCACTTAAGCCACAGCGCCACTTCCAGCTTTTTTTCTTTTTGCTTATGTGGTGCTAGGGAATCGAACCCAGGGCCTCAGGCATGCAAGGCAAGCGCTCTACCACTGAGTCACCTTCCCAACCCTCATATGTCCTTTTTACTTAAAACATCATGATCACTTTTTCATGACATAGATGCCACTTTCATTGCAATGACTACAGGTATGATCCACTGAGAATCTGTAAACTTTGTAATTCTATCTAATAATGGATGACATTTATGTTTTTCCATTATTTTGCTTTCATAAAAATACTGCAGTACATATTTTTATTGGTTTTTGCCTAAATTTTTGTGAAAATAAAATTGCTGGGTCAAAGATTAAGTGACTTGAAATTTTAATTGGAACAAATTTCTAGATACTGTTCTAAAAGATCACATCTGTAGAGTATTCCTGTGCACCAGCTGTGGCTCACACCTATAATCCTAGCTATACTCAGTAGCTAGGAACTGAGGATCCCAGTTTGAAGCTAGTCTAGGCAGGACAGTTCCCGAGACTTTTCTGGAGGTTAATAGTGGATCTGTGGCACGAATGCTAGAATGCTATCCTTGAGTGAAAAAACTAAGGGATAATGAGTGCCCAGGCCCTGAGTTCAAGCCCTAGCACATGCACATCTCTCTCTGTCTCTGTCTGTCTGTCTGTCTGTCTGTCTGTCTGTCTGTCTGTCTCTCTCTCTCACACACACACACACATACACACACACACTGTATTTTTTTTTTTTCTCTTAACAGTAGTAGGAGTGCTGCTTTGTTATGGGCTATACTGATGACTGGTAACTTTGAGACTGTATGTTTTCTGGCCCTTAATAACTTAGGCTATATCTTTCCCCTTTCTTTTCTAGATATAGCAATGATGTAACTTCTCTGCCTTTTTTGCTGGAGATCCTTACAGTGTTACCTGAAGAAGTACATAGTCGTTCATTACGGATTGGAGCAAACCGGCGCACAGAAATTATAGAAGACTTGGCCTTCTACTCTAGCACAGTAGTATCTCTATTGGTAAGTTTGAAATAGTTGCTATGGGGCAGAAAATCATGGTGACTGTTCTGTAATCCTTTTGGGGTTTTTGTGAAATATCTTTCTTTGCAAAATTTAGCAGTGATAGTACACTGGCAATTATATAACACTTGATAATATAAAATAATTTCAAATTTCATACTTCATAATCCTATGAGGTTTATGATAATCTCATTCCATGACAATAAATAGTCTTAGAGTTACCATTACTTCAGAATTTGAATTTAGCCTTCTGAACATGTGTCCTATTTTCATCCGGCAGTTCATGCTAGCTGGCTTATTATCTAGTATTTCAACAAGCTGCTGCTTTTGGTGAAGGCTATGCTAAAGAAAGTGTGATCCTCTCATGAATATATATTGAATTTTGGGAAGGGGAGCTTGAACTTGGGGCCTGGGCTCTGTCCCTAAGATTCTCTGTTCATGGCTAGTGTTTCACTACCACTTAGAGCCACAGCTCTACTTTCTGTTTTCTAGTGGCTAATTGGAGATAAAAATCTCAGACTTTCCTGCCCAGGCTGACTTGGAATCACAATCCTCAGATCTCAGCTTCCCGAGTAGCTAGGATTACAGACATGAGCCATCGGCACCTGGCGATAAATTGAATTTTTTTTTTTTTCTTTTGGTCCGGTCATGGGGCCTGAACTCGGCCTGCCTGGATGCTGTCCCTCAGCTCTTCAGCTCAAGGCTAGCACTCTACCACTTGAGCCACAGCACCACTTCCAGTTTTTTTCTTTTTTGCTTATGTGGTGCTGCGGAATCGAACCCAGGGCCTCATGCATGCAAGGCAAGCACTCTACCACTGAGCTACCTTCCCAGCCCGATAAATTGAAATTTTGATAAGGAAGTAGTAGTCTTTACCTTTTGAGCAATATCACAGTTATACATACACTAATACCACATCTTTAAAAAGTTAAATATGATTAAGTTCCTTTTGATTAGTTATCATTAATATGTATATACATTAGAAGTCTCCAATTTATGGCATATATACTGGTTGCCTATTTATTATTATTATTATTTAGTCGGTCATGGAGCTTGAACTCTGGGCCTAAGCGCTGTCCCTGAGCCCTTCAGCTCAAGACTAGTGCTCTACCACTTTGCTGCCTGGGCTGGCTTTGCACCATGATCCTCAGATCTCAGCCTTCTGAGTAGCTAGGATTATAGGCACGAGCCACCCGTGCCAGCACTAGAGGTACAGCTTAGTGTTAGAATGCTTCCCTAGCAAGCAAAAGGCAGTAAGTTCAAACTCCAGTACCACCCCCCCTAAAAATAAATCCTTTACAGAGTTTTTGTCAACAATATCCATTTGAGAATAGTGCCTTATTTTGATTTTATAGTCATAGCTCTCCTTCCTCTTCCTTCTCAAAATGCTTCTACTTATCTTTATGTCATCTAATTGGAAGTTATATCCAAAGCATTCTTTTTGGTGAGGATTCCTTGAAGGTGTTAGCTCTTAATGCCACGGACCATCCATGCTATGTAATGAGTTCTCTGTTCTTCATTGAAAATGGTAATAACTGTATACCATCTGTAGCTAAATGAAAATAATCACTGGGATATTTTTCTTTAGGATTAAATTCTTTCCCAGGATTGGGAAAAACTGAGAGGTCTGATGGGTTAGTTTAAAAATGTTAAACAGTTTTGGCTAAAACAAAATTTTATGTAGTATCTAACTAGAAGATGTATGATATAGAGGTGTGACTTACACTAAAACACCTGTCTAGCATATGTGAAGACTTGAATTTAAACTCCACTTCTGAAGAGTAAAAAAAAGAAACAACAAAAAAACAAATCAGGTACTGGTGGCTAACACATGTAATTTTAGCTACTTAGGAGGAAGAGATGTGAAGATCATGTTAGAGTGCTTAGCTTTCTTTTGCTTAAGGCTAGTGCTCTGCCACCTGAGCCATAGCTCCACTTCTGGCTTTTTGTGGTTTATTGGAGATAAGAGTCTTACCAACTTTTCTGCCTAGGCTGGCTTAAAACCATAATTTTGAGATCTGAATCTCCTGAGTAGCTAGGTTTATAGGTGTGAGCCACTGGCACCCAGCTTTGAGTATTCCCTTTTAAAAGTTTGCTTTCCTGGAGCTGGGAAGGTGCCTCAGTGGTAGAGTGCTTGCCTTGCATGCATGAGGCCCTGGATTTGATTCCTCAGCACCACATACGCAGAAAATGCTGGAAGTGGTGCAGTGGCTCAAGTGGTAGAGTACTAGCCTTGAGCTGAAGAGCTCAAGGACAGTGCCCAGGCCCACGACCAACCAAAAAAAAGAAAAAAAGTTTGTTTTCCCTTTTGTAAAATGTAATTTTTATAGTAGTAGTGTGTTATTTTTTGAATATTCATTTTTTATTAACCTACTTGGATGTTTTAAATTCTGATTGGTAATCCTTATCTTAATAATTTCATGATGAAATACAAAAAATATAGTTTCAACATATTTTACTCAATCATTCCATATATGTCTTAGCATCCATATAGTTAGTTGGCATTCTTTTAATTTTCTATTAGAAAGGTAGAAAGAATCTTGATATTTACAATTTCCCAGGTATAAGATAAAGACTTAAAGCTCTATCAGATGTTACTATTTTGGTGTGACTTAGTTTTTTGTATTGTAGTCTTAGCGTTTTTGTTGAGTGCTTATATATGAAGAATTATTAACTATAATGAGGGCTATAGTAATGGGAGGTTGTCTAGTAAGAAATAAAGAGAAGCTAGGTGCCGGTGGCTCACGCCTATAATCCTAGCTACTCAGGAGGCTGAGATCTGAGGATTTTGGTTCAAAGCCAGCCCTACTCAGGAGGCTGAGATCTGAGGATTTTGGTTCAAAGCCAGCCCAGACAGGACAGTCCGTGAGACTCTTATCTTCAATAAACTCAAAAAAGCCAGAAGTAGAGCTGTGGCTCAACTGGTCGAGTACTATCTTGACCACAAAGAGGCTTAGGGACAGTGCCAGGCTCTCAGTTCAAGCCTCATGACTAGCAAAAGAGAGGGGGTGGGGAGAATCTTAAGAATACAGAAATATGATGATGGGTATTGGGCCAAGATAGACTCCAAGGAGGAGTCTCTGTTTTACCAGGACTGTGGCTTACTGAATGGTAAAGAAGTCACTGTGTACTGCATGTTGCCAAAAATCTATGCATTTGAATTGAATTTGCTCGCAATCTGCTTTTCAGGAAACGTACTAAAGTTGTTGAAATGTCTTAACAAATAGTTCTACGGGTAGGGCACTGAATCTGAGGAAAAAAGGGTGAAAAGGAGCCCACTGGACATTGATTAAAGTCAACTATGCAACTTGTGCGTGGAGATGGGAGGGAGGGAATAGGAGAGAATGAGGGAACAGATGATACTGTGCTAAAGGAAATGTACTTACTACCTTACACATGAAAATGTAGCCCCACTCTATAACGCCTTTATAATAACAATAAATTACAAAAAAACCCAAAAGAAAAACGCTTATATCGCCTTTATAATAACAATGAAATAAATTACAAAAAAATACCCAAAAGAAAAATGCTTAAATGCAGGATACCCAAGGGAAGCTGCTGGCCATTGTTCACTGAGAGTGCTGGAGAAACAGTACTTTATAAATCTGGTGCTAGAAAAGTTGTTCATGGGGCTGGGAAGGTGGCTCAGTGGTAGAGCGCTTGCCTTTCATGCCTGAGGCCCTGGGTTCGATTCCTCAGCACCACATAAGCAAAAAGAAAAAAAAGCCGGAAGTGGCGCTGTGGCTCAAGTGGTAGAGCTCTAGCTTTGAGCTGAAGAGCTGAGGGACAGCGCCCAGACCCAGAGTTCAGGCCCTACGACTGGACCCCCCCCCCAAAAAAAAAAAAAAAAAAAAAGAAAAGAAAAGTTGTTCATTCCTCAGGAGCCAGAGGAACTTTGCTATAAAGCCGTTGGTGAGGGCTGGGATGTAGCTCAGAGTGGCAAAGCGCTTGCCTAGCAAGTTCAGCGTCCTGGGTTTGATCCCCAGAACCAAAAGAGAAAAGACCCCCCCAAAAAAAATACAGTTTTTTTTAAAAGCTTGGGGGGAAAAAAGCCATTGGTGAGGATGGGGGAAATGCTAGGAAAGCTGTTGTCCAGAACTACAAGAGTTGGGCCCCAGAGAAGCTAAAGTCTGGTGCTAGAAAAGTTGAGACTGCTGAGTAGAAACACTGAAACCAGGAACCTAACTTTTCTTCCTACAGTGTCTTTTTAGTGTCCTCAAGTGACAAATCTTTAGTGCTGACATTGAAGAATGAAAGGTCCTGTTACATTTTCATAGAAAAGTCTAATTAGATGAATTTGGAGGTGACTAACTGAACAAAAAAAAAGTAATAGGAAATTCTGCAAACAACATCAACGTTAACAAAGAGCAGAATGATTGAGGACTAAGATTCTTTGGGATAAAAGTTTGAGTCTTAGCTGGGCGCCAGTAGCTCACTCCCTATAATCCTACCTATTCAGGAGGCTGAGATCTGAGGATTCCAATTTAAAGCCAGACCAGGCAGGAAAAGTCCAGGAGACTTACCTCCCATAAACTATCCCCTCCCCCCAACAAACAAACAAACAAACAAAGAGCTGGAAGTGGAGCTGTGGGCTCACACCTGTTGAGCACTAGCCTTGAGCAAAATACAGCTCAGGGACAGTACCTAGGCTCTGTCAAGACCTCTGACTGGTACCAAAACAAAACCATGAATCTTCACCAAGTAAGGATTCTTACCACAAAAAGTTCTTATTAAAGCATAAAGGTGAAATATGTTGTAAAATATAACCATACATATCAATTATAAACTGTGACCAATTATATAAAATGAAGAATACAGTATCTTTTCACCTTTTCTAATTGCTTGTTATCCATTGCATAGGACTTTAGATGTGTACAAAAGAGTGCATATGGAAGCTGAATTAGTCAATTCCAAATTCATCTAATCATCTAATATTGTTGAGGTTGTAGTCTCATCTACCAGCTCACTGCTCTTTTAACACCCCTGTATTGGGAATTGAA